GATATCATAGACTCATAAGAGTGTCAGATAATGATATTTTCAGCTCGAGCGTGGAAAATGAAGAAAACTGCTGGCATTTGAGTCCGTATTCCAGGAACGTTCGGGTTTTCCATTGTTATGCAAACGAACAACGAAGGATAATCCTCTGACAAACATTACTGTCCCACTGTACACGCTGACAGTTTACAAACAAGCTAATCCTTCAAGTGTCTCTGATAAGACATCTAATAAAACGGTTTTCATGGTGAAACAAAATGGCCGATGTTTGAAAAAAAAAATTGCTGTGTCAGAGTGCGACACTGAGTGGCAGATTTTTCTTTGCCTCGTCTGTCAACGCTTTCTTTCTTTTCTTCGCCATTGCGTTAGAAAAAAAATGTATTAGTAAAATAGAATATTGACTTGGAAAAAAAAACGATTTAAAAGAAAGTTGTGCAAAGTTACAGTACTCCTTTCGCACAACCTCCCGCCCGCTTCCGCTTTCCAATCACCTTTTTCTCTCGCTTTTGCGACCGCTTGTTGAATTCGACCGGACAATTTCCGCTTTAAATTCGACCGCGCAAACCCTGAAATATCACCGCCCACCTACTCGCTCGCGCGCATTTAAAATTCGGACTAACAGAATAATTTCCGAGGTTCACATTGTCTAGTATAATTGTCTTTCTGGTTTTTATAGATGTTGAACAGCTGACAAAAGTTCAAATGAAAGAAAAATTTTATAAGCCTAAAATAAAACCTAATATTACACCTCTTTGTGTATTTGTTAATTTTACATATGTTTGTCATTAGTAGTTACTGTGTTCCAATGATCTCATTATCTCATCCATGTGTGTGTTTTTTGAAAATCATCAACTATTTGTTTAAATCAAATACGTATTTATTGACGAAAAATCAACATTTTAAATACGAAGACATAATGAAAACATCAATATATCATAAAATATGGGTTAAAATATGAAAATTTAAAGTAATTTGTAGTTGGAAACACCTCGGGTTGGAACCAAATGTAAGTAACCCTCACGTGGGTTGAAATCGAGTGAAGTGTGTTAAAAGCAGACAATACAGACGAATCCTTTTCTTGGAGAACAAAACAATGACCTAACCATCCCATACTTACTAACGAATGTCTGTTTCCGAAAAGTAATAATTGTTTACATGACATTTTATACAAGTAAACTATAGGGACACTTGATTATTTGGTCATTCTTTTTTCGTATTTTTTTAATTTAATCAATCAGAATTTCAATACGCTAAAATCATCATTGTGGTGCCAAATAAATGCCCATGTCAAATCAATTCTTATTCACTCGCCACATCACGTGACTACCCCGTGATTATGATAATGACGTAGCAAGTCCTTATATGGCAATATGTAAATGCAATATATATGCAAATAACAAGTAGAAAGCTGGAAGTTTAATTTTCGTTAGGACAAAAACAATTCTTAGCTATTTACATGTTAGTATTGTAAAGTAAAATATGTAATTTGTAAAACTTGTATACTCACTTGATACAACAGATAATTTTGGATCAGTATTATTACTATTATTATTATTATTATATGAAAAATTACAAAATACTCAACTCCTTCAACAACGCTCTGTATACATATAATAAACCTCATAGTCGAATGGCCGCTGAAGTCTCGTTGAGAACTAGAGAACAACGAGACTTGTTTTTGCATCTCAAATAGTGTTCAGTGTTCCCCTGATCTGTGCTAACATAGATTCCAAATGCATTGTGGGATAGTTAGTTCAGGTTGCACCTGCGGTGTGTTGATTCGGTCAAAACTATCCCACAATGCACCAACATTTGAAATTACGACAAGGTCTATTGTGTTTAGAACAATGAACGTGATGAACGAAGAGAGATAATTAAACTATACTAGTATTTGATTGACAAAAACAAGTCCTGTGGCTCTCTCACTCTCAACGAGATCTCGGCGGCCACTTACGTCGAAGTTCTATTATATCACCAAGTTAACGAGAAATACTAACTCGCACTACTAACTTTCCTACATGGTCATTATTTGGGAGTAGTTCTCATAAAAACAACTTCCCAGTTTTTTACATATGTCACGTCCAAATAAGGTAGCAACATATAAATAATTTAATCCTGCAATGTAAAAACAAGACTTTTTTGAACTGAGCTCATCAATATTCTACTAACATTGCTATCATAATCAACTATAATGTCTTTTAAAATGTACAATTTATGTCTCTACAGTCAACATAATAACAAGTTAAGAATAAACTTAGAAAACAAAAACGCGTTTTAACTCGTACAGCAGTATTATTCTTGGTTGGTCACGACAAAGCGCCCTCTGACGTTATTGGGAATTAATTATTTAGTTTGGTCTGAGATTTTGTAAATAATACCAGTAAAAAATATTTGTCGTAAATTTGTTGGTTATTTTTTTTTATGTAGTCGCATACATTTCGTTTTTTTTGGGGGGGGGTGCGATGATGATCCGTTTTCTGAATTCAGGTAACGTTTTGTTAAATGCTAATTCATACAACAGCACAGCAACGCAGTACAGAGAGCGCCCAAACAAAATGCACTTCCTTTGCCCTGTAAACAAACATAAAATAAAACAATCATTTCATCGACTCACACTGTGCCACTGGATAGTGTCCGAAAAATGTTCGTACCAATTTTAACTCGTGTGAATGATTACGCCCTCACCGACATACTCAACATTTATGAGGGCGCAGTAACGTAAGCCAAGCCGTCCATAACGAGTTAGACGGGCAAAGTCGGGACTACTTTTTTGTTTTACAAAAAAAAAAAAAAAATAATTTAATAATAGTGATTTTTCGTGAGAATATCGATAATACCATGTTAAAAAAAACAGTCGAGAATAAATAATAATAATAACTGCTAATGACTTACATCATCTTTTTTCTGTTCTCCCGTCCTGTCGATTACGTAAGTTGTTTTCGGTTCCTGGGGAACTCCGTACACAACTGTGTACTGTGCACCAGGTTGTTGCATATATCCTTGTTGTGGGTACGGCCCTGCCTGTGGCGGCGGCATTGCAGGTTGTGGTTGCACATAACCATAGGGGGCGGGCTGTGGCTGTCCAGTAGAATATGGAGGCGGTGGTTGTTGCTGGTCGTAGCTCATTGTGATACGATTTCTGTTCGAAAAATAAGAAATTGTATACTGATATTTTATACTGTAACGTACATATATTGATATTGATCAGCAGAGCAGTTCGATTAGCTTGGATTAATTCGTGCTTAATTAAAGCGGGGAAGTCAGATAGCCATAGCGTGTCACTGTATACAAACAAGAGTCTACCCACGAGCCTTTGCGTTTTTACATATACATTTTGCGTGTGTTGTTATCGTCGCTTGGGACTCAATTCCCGCGCGTACGCCGGTGACGACCCTCCCGCAAGGGTCGACAATGATATTATAATCATACAGACTACGTCGGGAAGTACTTCAATCACGCAATCACGGTCAAACCAATTCAAATCATGTGGTTGACTCGAGGGTGTGGCCAGTATGTTTTTCCCCCACGTTTCGTTTCTGTGCATTTGTATTGTTCTTAAATATGCTAACATGTTTTCCCTGCAACACCTTGCATTCATTTCTCTCTCTCTCTCAGTGTCTAGTTTGCATTGTTTTAAACAAATCTTCTGGCCACCCTCATGATTTTAAATGGCCGACCCCTAGAGCACTTCTTGATTTAGCTATCTTGTATCTTGTATAGCTCGTATTATTGGAATATTCAGTGCACAGTCAGCTG